GTGTCGGTGGCGTAACCATGGTTAGTCGTAACCGTAGTTCTGGCCCCAGTCATAGTAGTAGCAATCGTGGTGGTAGTATTCGTAGTGACGTCGTCGTCGTCGTAGTGGTAGGAGTAGCAGTAGCAATAGAGGCAACAGCAGCAACAGCAGCAGAAGGAGTAGCAGCAATAGCAGCAGTGGTAGTAGTGGTAATACGCGTAGTAGAGGCAGTAGTAGTAGGTGCAGCTGCAATGAGGACAATGAGAGCAGCCGCAGGAGGAGCTTGAGGCGGACGGGAAGTAACAGCAGCTGCTGCTGCTGCTGCTGCTGCTGCTGCTGCTGCTGCTGCTTAGCGACCGTCGGAATGCGAAGATGCATCCTGGCATCATCACTCACGCAAATCTTCGCTTTCCCTGTCGATATAACTGGTTCGTCATCACCACGAGCGCCATCGTCAGCATGACCACACTGCAGTCATCACCGTCATGATCAGATTTGGCTGTCTGTGTTAGTGTCACAGCTTTGCCGCCCTCATAAAAACTAAACCTCAACGTTTCGAGCTGCATCATCCCCAGCTGTGAATGAATCATACAGGGCGTTTAAAAATCCAATAGGGTTTTGGGTATGTCATACGACAAGTATAGGAAGGAACCCCCCGAAATAGCTATGGGTGATTATTTAGGCCCCCATATAGCAAAGCAGAGTTGAATGCTCAGGGTCTCAGGCTCCACTTGCGGGCAAAAGGCTACAGCTGCTCCAAGACCATTGCGGGCCGGCCGCTTCCATTGGCGTTCCCGTTGGCACTGAATTCTAAAGCATGCTGCTTTGGTTTCCGGATTGTCAGCATTGCTGGAGTGTCCGGTATAAACTTAAATCTACAAGTTGTCAGGCACAGCTGCGATTCTTGACAGCAGGCGTTTACATGTATGTGCAGCAGCTACTGTATATCATTCTGACATAGTATTTCGATTGTTATCGTGATTATATTATTGCTGCCATTACTAGTCTTGCTATGAATACGGTTTTTACCCATGAATACTGTTGTTCATCTCTGGTCTCGACCTTGAGAAGCGACTGAAAACACAACAATCGTACCCGCCGTACCGACGGAAGCAACACAAAATTTCCGGTAGATTCGGAAAGGCTTCGGGGTTTGGATTTATTTGGTTCTGAAACGAAACTAAAATTGAGCTGAGCAAACTCTTGTTTGAAATGTCGCAGAACAACGGCCTGGTCGGCCACCAATGTACCCGCACGCACGTCTACTGCTGATGTTGAAAGGCATGCGGCATGGACGGAAGAGTTGATCGCAAATACTACCAAATTCTCAGGCAAAACTTCCATTATTTCCAATGTGTATACATACACAAATGCTCAAAAAAAACACAAAAACGAGTCATAAAACAGGCGGTTCTCAGGTCGATGCGGTTCTATGAGCTGAGCTGGCGAGCATTGCAGCGATTGCTGTGCCTGACCATCCAAGACTGGACATTTTGGAGGCCTCAAACGGTTGAGGGTTTAGGGTTTAGGGTTTAGGTAAGACTGGACATTTTGGAGGCCTCAAAAGGTGGGAGGAAGGCCGGTAAGATTGAGGATCCCCTATATAAGGACTCTTATTTGGGAGTTACCCCACCTACCTTCATCCTACCTTTTGAGGCCCCTGACGACATTCACAAGCTTCCGCACAACCGCAACACCATTGGACCTTCTTCTTGCTTTTTGCGCGTCTCCACTAGAGGCACCGCGGACCTGAGATATACATGTATACATATACATACACGCATACATATACACACATACACATACACATACACATACACATACACATACACATGCACATGCACATACACATACACATACACATACACATACACATACACATACACATACACATACACATACACATACACATATACACACACACACACATGTCATGTACCTTTCTATGAACATATACGTCTCCTTTTGCATGCACCTATCCATGTGCCTTTGCGCATGCGTACACTTTGCGTCCGAACAAACGGCGCTCATCGGCGCAGCAATGCTGTTCGGGACAGCAAAAACCGCTGTGGACGACTGTCGCCAGAAAACTGGACACAAAAACTTCCAGAAGGCCCAACGTGTTGCGGTTTAGCTCTTTGCCAGGCTGGGTTTTCTGTGGTCAATGTTCAAAGCTCTTGAAAGATTCTTCTCAGTTTGCAAAAATGCTATCCCGTCAGTTGGGGGAGGGACTGCCTCGAGAACAGCTATTTAGGATTGCCTGCTCTCGAGGGCTTTGTTGGAACACGCGAATCTCAGACCCAATTGAAGTTGACAATCCAGACCCCTGAGATTCAAACCTGCAACGCAGATTCAACCTCATGTATGTATATGTAGCCGTGGCCATGCAGCAGCCGGAGCCGTAGCAGTAGCAGTAGCAGAAGCAGCCGTAGTCGCAGCCCAGGGGACTACCTCAGTCGCCCACTCAAAAAAAAAATCTGTGGTCAATGCCAAATTGTGACTGGAACTCTGCCAGCTCTGATGGGGCTGCAGGTTCTAGGACACGGGCCTGGAAGTACTCTCAACTGCTCGAGCCGCACGCCACTGTCTGGGCTGCAAGCCCATACGAATAGAACAAAACAGGTGGCCAGTACTTCATGAGCACGGGCAATGCCCAACAGTGTCATCAGATGATGTGTTGCCGCGCTGGAGCATCACGTCGAATGAGGACATAGCCTGAAACAACCGCAAAGCAACCGGACTAAGCTAAACCCTCAAAGAGCCCAGAAGCCATTGCAGAGGCCAAAACTGTCAAGACAATCTCTGTGAATGTTAAATACCTTGACAATGCATGCATTCTGAAAAAAGGTGGTGGCAAGCAATACCATAGGGCTCAAAGTACTTAAGTAATACCTACTTTGGGCCCTAGAGTATACAAATAGGACCTGCTGTAGGCTATTTCGAGGATAGGCTCTGATCTAACTGCAGCACCCCCATGACACGGAGCGGCTTCCCCAGAGACTCCAATACCCCTCAATTAAGGAATATACCTTACATCATATTAGGGGCCCTACTATACTTTAAGGTATATTCCTTAACTAAGGGGTATTGGAGTCTCCAGGTCCAGACTTCCAAGAGCCGCGAAGGCCCGAGGCGGAGGGCCTTGGTCGATATCGGAGCTTCCGAAAATTAGGGGTACCTTATTTGGGGGTCCTTATAATAAGGATCCTACTATTTAGGGTACTATATTAGGGTCCCCTATTTTCGGAATCTCCCATATCGGGGTCCCATACGTGGAGGCTCGTGGGACTCAGTGACTACTCCCTACTTGTATTTTCTTTTGACGACCTATTTCACCCTGCAATAATAAAAACCTCCAGCCTAAAACCCAAAATTCTGCACTACTCGTTTAAGAGGAGCAATACTACTTCAAAACGAGCCGAATTATCCCAAATTTCATGGCCATTAGGGGGAGGTTTGAGGTAGGTAAACTGGTTCTCCTGAAGATCTAAGAAGTATTAGGGATCTCCTAGTTAGCCTAGGCTTTGAAGGATTTTGTTGTCAAAGGGTTCATATAAAAGATCCTGAAGGAAATCTAATGATGATTTGGGATCTCCTTGATTTGGTAGGTTTTCAACGTTGTCTTTATCAGGGTTTTATAGAGGATTTAGATAAGATAGTACATGGGAATATCACTAGAGTTAGGGATCTCATTGGTTTCTTATAGACCCTCAAACAGTGCCTACATGGAGCCTTAGAGGTTCTACTGCTGATGGACAAAATCCTGCATTACCCATTATAAGGAATATCATAGTTCCCATAGTGTAGGTTCCTTAGGGTCATGCAGGATTTTGTCCGTCAGCAGTAGGTACTTAAAACTGGGCTTGGAACCCTACTTAAAGGATCGTGGGACTTAGCAACTAGGGTTATAAGTGGGGTAACTATACCTCTAATTACTTATAACCCCAATTAAGGGACTTAGAACCATACTTACTAAGTCCCATGATCCTCCAAGTACTCATGGCAAACTGTCTTGAAATAGGCTCCCGGGGCCCCTGCTAGGGGTACCTTTCTTAATCAGGGCAAGAGGGTTACCACATACCCCTGGTTTAAGGTAGCCAACTTTCTGGTTATAGGAGCCTAAGCCCAGAGTAAGGCACCCACAAAAAAACGGCCCATGGTATGAGCGTGCAGGTACGGTTGATGATATAAACCCCGCATTACCCATAATAAGGAATATACCATAATTCCCGTAGTTTCGGGTCCTTAGGTAATGCAGGATTTCTATCATCAACCGTAATAGCCAAGAATCCACCAATCGACCAGCTCGCGGATCTGCTCACGGCCTGCCTGCGCGGGCTTTCGTTGTCTAAGGCTGAAGCTCTCGCAAGTGCAATGTAAAAGCTCGATAAAGCAACCTCTGGCTTTGTATGGCTCTTGAGAGGAAGTCTATTCGGTCCGGAGTTCAGAACAAAAGGTTTCGTAAGGTTCCATGGCCAACCGGGCTTGGGTCACCAACAGGCTTCGTCCCTAGCGCAATGCTGCGAACAAGCTTGACACAATAACGGGTGGCGTGAATGAAACGATGCAAAGCGCTTTCGGCATGGCTTGCAACGTCAGAAGTCAGAATACTGCGGCAATATGTGGGGTATCAAACCAACCCAGAGGGTCCAAGTACCGAAACAAGGAGTGCTCGCCTAAAACCATACTAAGAATACCCTGTATAGAAACCCTAAACCCTAAACCCAGAAAATCAGGATCCTCATTGTCTTGGTACTTGGACCCTTCCGGAAACCACATTAAAAGGGCCGCTTGGCACCAGACCGTTGGCGGAGAGGCCACGTGCACGGCACTCAACTCCGCAGAGGGGCCGGACCCGGAGACTCCAATACCCCTTAATTAGGGAATATACCTTGAATCATATTAGGGGGACCCTACTATACTGTAAGGTATATTCCTTAATTAAGGGGTATTGGAGTCTCTGGGAACTCCGCAGAGGGGCCAGATATCCCGGATTCAAGGTTGCTTCCAGCGAAAGCGGGCTACTGAGCGTCATGTGGTCCCTCAAAAGCCCCAGAATGGCTTGATGGGCTCGAGGGTCTGGACACCACGTAAACCTGGGGGTGTCCATAAATAGGGGGCCGCAAAAAAACACCACTAGACTAGATATATAATCCCTAATAAGGGCGGGTCCTAAAAAGGGGTCCCTAATTTTGGGAAACCCCCACCTTGAACTTTTGCTTAGACCAACTAGTCCAGGGCAGGTCCTTCGCCTTCCTCTTGTAGCTGGCGCTGATCCAAGTTTTTGAAGACCACATGGAGACGAAGCGGCCTCTCAAAGGGCTGTGCAGCGCGATCTGCTTGTTGCTGGTAGGCACGACGGCAAACCTCTCCTCGTTCGAGCCGTCGGGCAGCTCAAGGGCGCTCATGGTGCCACCTCCCCTGATCTTCTTGTCGCTCCTCATCTTCACGAAGCGCTTGTACTTGGTGTTGTGAAGAGCAACCAGGCCACCCCCTGCTTCCACCACCGTGAAGTACGTGGATTCCCAGGAGGACTGCCCTGGGACATAGGGGCCGTGGATGCCGCTTTTCTTCATCTTGCCATCGCTGTCCATTTGGAGGAATCGCTTGTGCTTCCAGCTATAGATAGTGATCACAGAGCCGGGCTCCAAGTAGAAGTAGGGATGGCCTTGAACGACTTGGAAGCGTACCCAACTCCAAGAGGCCGGAAGGCTCTCAGCCTTCATGGCCTGGTTCTTTGCCTCCACTTTGGCATTGTCCCTCATCTGGACGAAGCGCTTTCGCGACTTGGAGTACAAGGCGACCTCCCCATTCCCGGCATTGACAGGCACAAAGCGCACACTCTGCCAGCTGGAGGGGAGCGAGGCCCTGTCGCTGCTCATGTCCACATTCGTATCGCTCTTCAGCCTCACGAAACGGTTGAAACGTGGGCTGTGAAGGGCGATCTGGCCCTGTCCTGCATCCACCACGGTGAAGTACTCGTTAATCCAATCGGTCCTGAGGCCGTCGACGCTGGTTGTACTCGTGGCGACCAGGTCCTTGTCGCCAGTATTCACCTTCAGGAACCGCCTGTGCTTCTTGCTGTAGAGGGCAACCATGGTCCCAGGCTTCAGGACTGGTGGTGGGAAGTAGTTGGTCGAGAAGCCACGGAGGGCCTCTAGGGCCTTTGACTTGCTTTCGGACGACAGGAAGGGCACCGCACTGAGGGTCACGGCGAACTGGTCCGCGATGTCCACCAGCCTGGGTTGCTGGTAAGGAATTTAAATTTAGAAAACCTATGAGTTACACCATATATCCCTATATAAGGGTAACTGGACCTAAGTTCCGGAACAGCAGCCCAGCAACTTGAGCCTCTTTTTCTCGGACTCAAAGGACCCGAAGCCCATCTGCATGCCCAGCTCCAGGCTGTTTCCGTCGAGGAGGCCCTGCAGCTCAAAGTTGATCATGCCCGGGTGCTTGAAGCTGAAGAGCCTGGGTTGCTGTTAGGGAACTTATATGTCAAGTGACCATAACTCAAAATCCAGCTTAAGGTACTTATAGTAAGGATAGATGGTAAATAATAGGGTTTCTGAAACCCTATTACTTACCATACATCCTGACCCTAAAGACCTGAACTTAAGCTCCTTAACAGAAGCTGAGGAGCTGGAACACCGAGGAGCTCCCCGAAGCGCTCAGGCCCACGAGGTCGTCGTCCCCCTCGGCCGGGGACACCGTGCCTTTGCCCTTGAGCCGCCTGGCTGCAGCCTCGCCGCGCAGCTCGGAGTGGGCTTTGAGCCTGACCTCCGGGCCCAAGTCCAGAGACGCCATGTAGAGGTCCTGCAAGCTCTCATGTGTAGGTCTACAAACCTATTTCTATAAATTGTGCGTCCTTTCTGTGGCTGTCTTTATAATAAGAGCCCTACTATTTGGGGTCTAGATACTAGGGCCCCTGATTCTTGGTCCTCTGTCGACGTCTCCCACTCCAGCACCGCCTTGCTTTCGTTCATGGTCTTGGGGTCTCCCTGCTTGCTGCTGTTGGTCTCCAGAAGCTGGGTCCGGCTCATGGCATAGCCTATACTGAACTTAGAACCCTAGCAAAAAAATATAGGCTGTTTCTTGGGGATTATAATCACCAAAAGTTAATATTATTTCTAAGTACCCCTAAGCAGCGTGGGTTTTCCACCCGGCTCCAGGTAGCGGTGCTTCCGAAGGTGTTTTCGCTGGAGAACTCTGTGTCGGATCCGAAGCGCTTGACCAGGCGCAGGGTCCGGCTGAAGAGCGTGACGCCGCAGGAGCGGATGGTTGTCTTCAGCATGCTCAGCTCGCCACGCTGCCCCGTCGGCCAGCAGACTTGGGCGTCCACTGCCGCGATGGGACCCGGCATCATATCGAACTGGAGACCTCCCACGAAGGCTAGGACCGGCTGGGCGTTCATCTTGTAGGTCACGGTGAGGCACTTCTCGATGGCCAGGTTGGCCGTGTAGAAGGAGTAGCCCTCCCACTTCGAGGGGTTCGCCTTCATCCAGCCGTTGCCGCAAGGCACCGCCCAGGGCTCCAACTTGATGAAGTCATCCGATTTCTGCGCCTGCCAGTCTGTCTTCTTCTTACGGGACTGTGGGGACGATGGTGCAAAGGCCAGGCAGGACTCAGTATCGGTTTCCTCCCCGCCGAACTGGGTGATGAGCTTGGAGGCGTGGTGGCTGCCCTCAAAGCCGAGGTGGAAGCCAAGGCCATCGTTCGGCTTGTCATCCCCATCCCCTTCCATCTGCGTGGCCAGCTTGCTTCTCTGCGAGTGGGTCTGGATCATGAAGTTCCTTGTCTCGTGCTTTACAACCGGTGCCGCGCCTTCTTCCGGGAATACGGAAACTGAGGCATCCTGGATCAGGGAGTAGCCGTCCTGGAGAGACTGGCTGGCGACAGTGGCGGCCGTTCGCGCGAAACCCTCGAGGAACTCCGTGAGCATGTCACTCATCTGGTTCAGATAGCTGAGTGGGGGCACGAGGGAGATGATCCGGAAGCCCAGGCACTGGATGACATCGTCAGATCCGGACGTCTTCGAACACTTGCGGAGAAAGTCGCCCATGGTGAGCACGGCCTTTAAGGGTGGGATGTTGTCGGCCATCTGGTTACCGAGGCAACTCATGATATTGCCAGTGCCTCCACGGCAGCTTGATGTCCCGCTGCCAAGCTTCATCGCGATCCCCAGAGGAGGGATTTTGTCGGCCATCTGGTTGCCGAGGCAACTCATGATATTGCCAGTGCCTCCACGGCAGCTTGCGATCCCGCTGCCAAGCGAAACCGCTATCCCCAGCGGGGGGATGTTGTCGGCCATCTGGTTGCCGAGGCACTTGATGATATCGCCGGTGCCTCCACGGCAGCTTGCGATCCCGCCGCCAAGCGAAACCGCGACCTTCAGCGGGGGGATGTTGTCGGCCATCTGGTTGCCGAGGCACTTGATGATATCGCCGGTGCCTCCACGGCAGCTTGCGATCCCGCTGCCAAGGGAAACCGCGACCTTCAGCGGAGGGATGTTGTCGGCCATCTGGTTGCCGAGGCACTTGATGATATCGCCGGTGCCTCCACGGCAGCTTGCCATACTCTTCACCAGCCTGATCGCAGTCCTTATGGGAGCCGGCCAATCCCCTTTCTTCGTCCCGAAGTTCAAGTTGAAGAGGGTCACCTGCTGGCCCATGAGTCGGAACCAGCACCTTCTGGGCTGCAGTTGAGGAACTTTAATGACAACGAAGATCTCACACGAAGTACCATAAATCCCTGGTTCGAGCGGAGCTTCTTTTCCACCTGCTTCCGTTTCGGTGGCGTATGTCTGCGTTTCGATCTTACAGGTCGAAGTAGATCTTCCGTACAGAAAGGATCGCAGTTTCTTCCGCTGGGAGGACCGACTGGTTCACAGGCGGTTCTCGCAGACAGGAATCAAAGGAAAATCGAAGATTAAACGAGGGTCGGGATGGGAGGGTGAAACAAAATTTCTCAAGCTTTCGAAGCTTATGCCAAAATGGCCACGGAGTATGCATAAATTCGAAGGAATCGGTGAGTTAATCCCCAGACCTACTCGGTGTTATGGTGAGATATGAAGTTGTAACTTCGCACAAACAAGTGTGTGCTACACGACAACGAAGATCTCACACGAAGTACCATAAATCCCTGGTTCGAGCGGAGCTTCTTTTCCACCTGCTTCCGTTTCGGTGGCGTATGTCTGCGTTTCGATCTTACAGATCGAAGTAGATCTTCCGTACAGGAAGGATCGCAGTTTCTTCCGCTGGGAGGACCGACTGGTTCCCATCGGTGGTGGTCGCGTCCTCCCATCGCAGGCGAACGCCACTCGTAGGACTATGTATTAACATAGCATCGAGTTCAAACGAGTATGCAATCGGTGAATCTCGGGCATGTCGGAAAAATCCGTGGAAAATGAATGTCACCGATGACCTTGGCAGCTTTACTCGTGAGGGCCCCTATTGGTAAGTAGAGTTTAGTCCAATCCTCAGACTCTGCGACGTACTCGAATCGGCTGATCCCGTCGGAGATGTTGGCCTTGGTCGGTACACGTTCAAGTCGATGTGCGAGACTCCGGCGGTTGTGCCAGGTCCAATGTGCCGCGATCAGGGCGTGTCTCGATGCCTCGTTGTCGCAGCATTGGACGTAAAAGGAGTCGAGCCAGGGTTCGAAGATCAACGGTGCCAGAATCGCCACCCATGCCTCGATTAGGAAAAGGAAGGCCTGATCGGAGGAAAACTGTCGAACTAGTAGTGACGGGAGGCGACCCTGGAAGTATGCAGCGTGTTGCACGTCACCGTGGTGGAAGCAAACGGCCGCCCATCCGTTTTCTACCTCGGAGGTCTGCTTCGCATCCCAAGTCGGGATGTCGGGATCGCCAGGTTTGTAGATCGTTGAACCGAGTCGAAAGTATGCGTCCGTGTAGATGACACTGTAGACAGGTCGAGTAGGCGATCGTGGGATCGTCATAGGACTGCAGTGAAGTATGATGTCCTTGAGGGCCAGTAAGGAGGATCTGGTCGGTTTGTCGAGAGCATGAGTGTGGGAATGAGCTCGAGCGTAGAGTGCTTTCAGAGCAGCACGGCCCACCTTCCGAAACAGTCGTCCGGTGAGAAAGTTGCACTTGCCAGCCATTTTTCGAGCCTGTTCCGGTGACAAGGATGCAAGTTCGAGGTGATTGTCGATTTGTTTGCACATCGTGGTAACACGCTTGGAGCACGGTGTAAGTATCAAATCGGTCTCATCGGAGGAGATGATCACACCCTGGATTCGATGGGATGTCTGTGGTGGTTGTCGTTTACTCGGCTTCATGGAGATCTGTAAGCATCCGTTGTACTCCTCAAAGGATTCGAAGCTACTCTTGGCGGTGCATCGCTGGAGAGAGGATCATGGTACGGCTGCAAGCCACGAGTATATCGCCGAATCTGTTGTATGACCAAACACTGGCAGATGATCCGAAGAGGAGAACGTTGTGGCTCCAGAAGGTCGGGCCGTCCGGGGTCAGGAACATGACGTACGCTTCACGTGGATCTCGGAGTGGTAGTTGTCGGTATGCGCCATCGTGGTCGTGTCCCCATACTGATAGTGGTCGTCGACGATCGGAGCTGAGGGTCTCGAGGCCCAACGAGATGAAGTGGTCAGAAGTATGATGAAAAGGTTGATCGTGCATGGTGCATGTGGCATTGTGTCTACTGCAACGCCAGTCTTCGCCTCGGCAGATTTTGTTGTTCCCGTCGCTTCCCGTAAGGATCGATGTGTGGTAAAGGCAGTAATCGTCGATGTCTACCCTTGGGCGGGATCGTCGCCGATCGTGGCCACCAGTCAGGGGCTTGATACGGGCCGTTCATGCGCCCCATGTCGACTTCCGCCAAGATCTCGTCGAGCATCAACTCCCAGTGTTCGTCGACTGCGTCCTTTTCGAGTTTATCGATGATATACTGTCGATTCTTCTCGCTGAACTCGTCGATGGGGGTCGGCTCGAGGTGTTTCTGATCCTGTCTCACACGCCAGTTTACTCCTGATGTCAGTTTGCCCATCAAGGGGAAGCCGTCGGAGAGTTCGCGGTATATCAATTCAGTCTGAGGGTAGTGTGTCATTCGCAAGAGGTGGATCAGGACGGGAATCTGAGTCACGGAGTCCTTGTGACGATATGCTCGTTGAACATGTTCGGGAAGGGTGTGAAACCAAGACATCGTGTGCTCCTGTATATCTTCGACGAGGTCTCGTATGTCGGCGATGACTGCCTTCTGGAACCCGTTGAGTGGATGGAAAACATGTCGGTGTTTGATGCACCATTCGAGAGTAGGGCCGAGTCGTTTCGGCGACAAGTGGGTATCCCTGTTCAGTGCCCACTCCAGGTGTTCAGTCCAGGAGAACTGAGGCATATAGTCGTGGTTCGGAGATCGTGGTGGTGGGCCAAACGGTACTCGGTGTTGTAGCCAAAAGCTAGTGACCTGCTGCAGAGCAGACACGTGGGGTGTCGTCGGTATCGACGCATCGACGGTCCCGAGCAGAAGTAAGAAGAGTATCCAAATCGCCGTAGGAAGATACCGCGCGTTACCTAGAGCGATGCACCGTTTGGTCTCGTCGCTTGATCCGAGGTCTTTGGTGTAGTCGCGTGGTAAGCCTTGTAATTAGTTGTTCTCGAAGTGACGCTGGTGCCGTGGACCATGAGCCATCGGGAAGCGTGACCAAGAACTGGCTTTCGTACTGCCATGTCGGATATCGTCGATGGTCCTGCTCCCATCGGTGCCAAGCCGCATGGATCCCATTGTGGTCGACGCGGCAGACTCCGGCATCATGCATCGTAAACGACTCTGGTGGACTTCGATACTTCGATACCCTGGAACCTCATTGATGAGAAGCTTCCCCGCTTGACACCGTGGTCACTCGATTGGCGATTGGACGGCGAGTGGAACAGATTGCACACAACCCGATCGGATCGGAACTCCAATCACCTGTCACCGATCGTCACCGTTGGGTACTCGTTGCCACCGTGTCTGCACAACGAAAAGAAGCTCTTTCATTGCCTGACGACACCTTCTACATCGACCCTAGGCCCTAGGAAGAACCACCGAAGCAGTTCAACGATCGATCCAATCAAATGAGACGTCAGCTCGATGAGACTGTCGCGTACTCCGGGGTGAGGGACCACATTCTCGAAGACCGTCTCAATCGGCACACCGGTAAACCGTTTTCGAAGTTGGTGTTCGACGCCAACCATGCGCCTGAACAGCCAACCGGAAGAACCGTCGGAGCCTTTGGGTTGATTTCGAAGGCTGGGAAAATCGGGGCAAGGAGGTCCTGCTGTGATCACCATGACGTACTGTCGATGTTGTGTCGCCGTTTCGATGCGTTGTGCGACCGCTTCAATATAGAACTGTGAGACGTCACCCATCTGCACGGAGCCGAAGTGTCTGGAAGTGAAGTCTGCGCACTCGAGGTCAATCTCCCAGGAGAGTGTGATAATCACATTGTCGTTGATGCGTCGGAGTGCTTCGGATGCGACACCAATACCATCGAAGAAGGACAAATGCACCAAGGGCAAGGCCCCGACCAATTCGTGGCAAAGCGTGCTCACTCGGTCGCGTTGTTCTGTCATTCGATGGTCGGCTCCAGAATCCAAGGACTCTGGGCCGCGCTGTCCCTATTTCTTGCCAGACTTGCCCGACTTCCCTTTCTTGCCGGCCCCCTTCTGGCCCTTCTCGCCTTTCGTGTTCCAAGCGGGTCGTAGTGAAACCTGCGGTGCCGGATTGAAGGGAACAGTCGGTGTGGGCGGTATCGATGGGAAACTGTACGAATTATATAGGATGGGGTCGAGGTCGTAGTCCATGTTTGTCGATCTCGGCGTCCTTGTCCAGGAGGTGACCATTTCTGTTATTGGCCTTTGCCTTTGCCTTTGTATCCTTGTTCGACTCCTTTGCCGAATCGTGGTCTCTTTGACAAAGGTTGTTGCATGACGTCGGTGACTCGAGTTAGGTCTGTCAGGAGGTCTTCGGTGATATCTTTAAGATCTCGTTCGAGCGCATCCGAATGGCGATGTCCCATGAGAAGTCTTCGCAAAAGCTCTTTACGTTGTTAATTCGTTGTGTATGTTTGCGGACCAGTTTGATGAACCAGTCGATGTACTTGTTGATGACCGTCTCGGAGGCATACTTGATCAGGATCCAAGCCCATCGAATTGCTTCGATGGCGTCGATGAGTATCCACTGACCTCGTACATCCCATTCCTCTTGAGACTTCTCCGCAATGTTGTTGCGTTCATCGAGGATCAGCTTTTTTTCTCGGAGGTGTCCTTCTTACGGGTCGAGTTGAACGTGTTGAAGCTCGTCCATATCCACTGGGGGATTATCTCACCCAAGGCGGTGGCAGTGTACATCTTCGAAGTATGGTGTTCGTGGTACATGCGAGCGAGGACCTTCTCAGCGCCCAGCAGGTTGCGTTCGGGGAATTGTCGCCTCTCGCCGTCCACGGTTATGCTGTTGTGGTCCTCGACGAGCTTGGTGTAGACGCCCGAGGGGAGCGTCTTCGGCTTCGGGACAATGTCCTTGTCGCTGGTATGTGTCGAAGCAGCTGGTGTAGCATGGTGTGCGGCCTGAGTGAGGACCATCCATTGTGCCTTGAGCGCGTCCTCGTCGGTGCCATCCACGAGTTTAAATTCGACGCCCCCGGCCGTGACGCCCGATCGAAGTTTGTG